TGCCGCCAGGTTCCCGGAGGCGCCGCCGTGTCCTGCCGTGTCCCGCAGCCCCGGCGCCGTAATTCTAATTTCGGGACGCTCTCTTTGACGCGGCCATGGCGCATCGGCCGGCCGCTGCCTGTTCCCTTTGGTTCCCTTCCCACGACGACGGGGACGGTTTTGCATGGAAGAAAGCGATTGCCGGAAGCGTCGTCTGCTGTGGGGACGGGGCGGCGGGGGCGGCGGGGGCTCAAATCAAATTCATTTGTATGGAAATGCGGCGGGTACCTCCGCGCTGCCTCCACCCGCAGCGCCACAGCCGCCAAAGCGGTGGCAGCCGGGTGGCGGGCTGGCCGTGCACGGGGCCGCGCCACCGCCCAGCGCCGCCCAGCTCGACAAGGGCATCTAGGGCATCCGATGCAAAGCAGACAAACTAATCACGGACGCCGATAAGCTTTGAAGAGTCCGGCGGCCGATTCCGTCGCCCTGTCTCTCTCGCACCCCCTCGGGACGCCCCGCGAGTGCGAGAGAGACGGCGCGCCGAAAGAGCCTCCGTGCGCGACAGTGGTGTAAATGAGCCCGGACACCGCACAGCCGATTGAGCTGATGTGGCCGACGAGGGCGGCGACGACGGCCACCCTCGTTCCGCCCCGCCCCGCCACTGATTGCGAACCGCAAAGTTTGCCGCCTTTTTCCCACGTCACGTCCATGCAAATAGGCAGGCCTAATGCATCATTCTTTGGCGAGAGGACGGCCGTCGCGCGGGCCGTGCCGTGGCGGTGCGAGGGGGACGGAGCCTCGCCGCCGCGCCCGACGGGATTAACTTTTTGGAGCAGCAACAACACTGTAATGGGCGTGGGGGCGAGGCTCGTCCCGGGACGCGCGGGACCGGCAAATCCGAGGAGTGTCTTTCTCGCGTGCTTTGTCAAAGTTTTAGATGCGGCCGCGGCGAGGCGGCGCTAAGAGGACGGCGAGCGGCCTAGCAGGCCCTCGGCCTCCAGCACCTCGAGTAGGTAATGAAGCGGCGAGGGGTGGCGGCGGTGTCTCGAAAGTGCCGTTGTTCGCCTCGACCCCCGGTGGGGCCTCGGGCGGCCTGGGGCGGCCCGGCGCGGCTGCCGGCCGAATCGAACCAATTTCCAGGCAGAAATGAATCATCGTGGTCTCACTCGGGCGAGGTTTTGTGCGGGGCCGTGGCCGGGGTCGCCGGGGGCGGGGTCTGGAGTCTCGGTGCCCTGCCCGAGCGGTGCCCCACTGGCGGTGCCCCACTGGCCCCAAGGGGCTGCAGATATGAGGCACGGCGTGTTGGATACACCCCATCGGGCCCCATTTAATATTCCCCCTCTGCCTCCCCACCCCCTTCGCACCTCAGAGCCCCCCCCCCTCTCCCGCCTTGCCGGCGGTTTGTCCGAAGGGGCTTTGCCGGCAGATAGCAGAGAAATATCTCGGGGTCGCCCCCGGCCCCCGGAACGCCTCATGGAACGCCTGGAGCCCCGCCCGCTGGCTGATGCCGAACAGCGTCTTCGTCGCTCTGTCTCTCTCGCACCCGCAAGACCCGCACGGGACGCCCCGCGAGTGCGAGAGAGACAGAAGGCACTGCAGCGGCCGCAGCGACTCGGCCAGGCTGCGCCAGGCTGGGAATGTGTCAATGGCCAGACGGCAAGACGGAGCGCGGTCTCCATGGGAAGGTGCCCCCTTTGTCCAGGAAGCTTATTTGTCGCGGCGGACGTTCGGAAAGAGAGAGAAAGAGAGAGGGGGAAAGCACGTTAGATAAGAGATAATGCCCCTCGGTGCGGTGTGGCGTTGCCTTCAATCGTCCCCGGCTGCTTCTGTTTCTTAAGTACTTAAACATTTCCCTTTTCACCGGATTTTTTTTATTTTCTCTCTTTCTCTCTCTCGTCCTGCCTGCGCCGTGGCCGCCGACGGCCTGCCGTGTCGCTCTCCAGCGCTTTTCGGCTAAATCCTTCCGCTCCGTCTTTCTTGGGCCTCGCGGCCCCGCCTCGCAGTGGCGTGGCGTGGCTTGCACTGCCGCGCGCCGCGCGCACGGAACCGTTTTAAACTCTAAAGCCTCCCCGAGGGACAGAAAAAAAACAGCTCTTGTCGCCGAGAGCTTGGATGTTGAATTAAAAGATTCGCGAAGTGTGGGTCCAGGAGAGGGGGAGGGGGGCCTGGGTAGTGATTACAGAGAGCGCGCCGCAGAGCTGCTGACTGCTAGAGGCTGGCACACTGGCACCGCGATTCGCCCGATTCGTCCAAACGCGCGGAAAAGTACAAACCAATTACAATTACTGGCAGGGCGTAATGACTTTCCCATTGAGGAGCGGACGGCCCTTCTTGAGCGCCACGCTCGGCGAACGCTCGGAGAACGCTCGGACTTTCCCGCTGAATGTGGTCTTTGATTCTCCGCGCACTTTATCGAGCAAACTTTGCTTCTGCCTGGCTGGCTGGCTGGCTGGCTGGCTGGCTAGCTGGCTGGCTGCCTGGCTAGCTGGCTGGCTAGCTGGCTGGCTAGCTGGCTGGCTGGCTGGCTGGCTGCTGGCTGGCTGCCTGGCTGGCTGGCTGGCTGCCTGGCTTTGGGTCTGGCTGGCTGGCGGTGCTGGCTGGCTAGCTGGCTGGCTAGCTGGCTGGCTGCCTGGCTTGCAGTCGGCGTGCAGGTACACTGGTTGGCGTACTGGTGCGGCTCGCACGCGAGTGCCGGGACGAGTCCCACTCTCCGGCGGGTGCGTGGCGCGGCGTGCACTGCGTGCTGAGAGGATGAGGACGCCCATGAAAATGACAACCTTTGCTATTTCTCTTCTAGGAAGGCACAATTTTTTCCGCGCACCCTGGGCAGAAAAAAAAGAGTTTCATCATCTCAGGGAGTGGTAGCACGCGGTAGCACGAGCATTACTTTTTGGTTTGGGGTTATTTCGTTTTCGTCCCTTCTTCTGTTTGGGAAATCATCCACCTTCAGGTCGAAGCTCGGTGGCCTGGGTGCGTGCAACGCAGAAAAACCATTGCTTGGAACAGGAAAATTTACATGTTTCAAGAAATATTTTTTCTGAGTGTAAACAAGAAAATTCACTCATTTCAAGAATTTCTTTCCGAGTGTAGCGCAGCGTAGGTCGGCATTCTGCAACCGAGGAGACTTTGGGGGGCTCTCCGCTCCCCGTTGTCTGGCCGTGCCTAGGCCGGGGCGAGCGCGGCTCCAGAGACTTAGTCGTGGCTCGTAATGAAATACGCAAACTATGCGGAGGTTTAATTGATTTCCGGACGTAGGAGACTCGTTATTCAGATTCAGGTGGTGCGTGTGTGTTGGTGTCTGTCTGTCGCTGTCTGTCCGTCTGTCCGTGCAGATAGCCCCCTCCTTCTCCGCCACGACGGCGGCCCGTCTGCCGAGCGCGACGGACACCGCGCCGGCCGGCTGTTGAATGGCACTTTATTATGAAGAAGAAGCGTTGCGAGGGCCGTGCTGGTGGCATGGCACACCGCGAGGCTCGGCGCGAGGCGGCGACGGGGAGGGCAGGGCATTCCAGGCATTTCACTCCTCGGCTGGAATCGGGCCGCCTGCCCCGCGCGCCACGCCAGCCGGGCAGCAAAGCAGCGCCGACTTATTAAAGTTTCCAAAAAAAAAAAGAATTAATAGCGCCGCGGCGGCGTCGGCAGTCAATATTTCATTCACTGTTTGTGTCCTTGCGTCGCGACGGCCAGTGTCATCGTTCCGTGGAGGACACACTGGAACCGTGAATCTGCAACGATCGGCAGGTTTATGCCCTGCAGATGCAGACCGCGCTGCCCTGCCTGGACTGCACCTTAAAATGTGCAATTTTGTCAAGTTACGGGCAGGCCGGTTCCGAGAGCCCCGTGGCAGCGGCCGCTTCGCTGCTGCCGCTCGCCACGCCCTCCCCGCCCCGCCCCGCCCCGCCCCGCCGCCACCGGACACCCAGGTGTGCCATTACGGGCCGCTGTTACGCCGTAATGGCTCAGTCAGCGCGTCATTGCAGTGCGTGTGTTTGCTATTGAAACAGCGAGGCGACGCTCGGCGCCACGCTCGGCGCCACGCTCGGCGCCACGCTCACGCCCCGGCGAGTGCCACGCTCGAATCGAAAGTCGAAAGCAAACGGCGGCACCGCGGTTCGAGCGTGAAATAAGGAATTAGCACGACGCGCACCGCCGGACGCGGCCGTTTCCGCTAATGAGTGCGACCTTGAAAACGGCTGTCCTTCTGTCTCTCTCGCACTCGTGGGGCGGCCCGGAGCGGCGTGCGAGAGAGACAGACGGGCTTGGCGCCGGCGTGGGCGTCCCCGTCACTGCGGCAGTGTGCGGCAGCACACTGATTCAGAGAGTCGTTTTCGTCGCTCTGTCTCTCTCGCTCCTTTGCGGAACACCCCACGAGTGCGAGAGAGACAGAGCGAACGACTTTTGGAGTCGGTCTGCCGCTCGGCCCGGCGTGCCCTCGAACTGCGGGGTATTACGCTGCCGCCATTATTCGCAAACAATTTTCAGTGACGTGGCCGCCCTTGACATTGATCCTCACTTTTTATATTTTTCCCTCTTTTGTTGCCTCGTATCCGGGTGATTGTGTTTTCCCCGTCGGGGGCTGGCTGCCTGGCTGCCTGAGTCGCCCACTCGCTGTTTCCAGTGGCCCTCCGCTCTGAACTGTGCCTCCATCCCGCATGGGGGCATCAGCCAGCGTCCTTTATTTCGAGAATTATTGGCGGACTGCGTGGAGATAGCCCGTCTCTCTCGCACTCCCGGGGCGGCCCGCATGGCCCGTGGGTGTGCGACAGAGACAGAGAGCTCGTGTCGCAGCCAAGCCGCCTGTTCGCTTCTCTCTCCACTTGAGATGCGGTGCCGTGTTTCATATCTGCCGAAGGCTCGTATGGAAAGGATGCGCCCTGCTTGTGTTTCTCCCGTGGAGAGGAAAACAGGAAAAGTCTGAAGGGGGAAGGGGACGCTGCTCAGCAGGGCCACAGCAGTATCAGTGGAGTGGAGGCTGAAAGCGCTGAAAGCTAACCTTCTTTTCGTTTCCCGTGTGCCTGCAGACACAACGCCACGACGCTGGAGAAGTTCCAGTACGGCATCTCGAAGCACGAGCTGTACAGCAAGGACGACCCGCTGGTGGAGCGACTGCTGCACGACATGGCCACGCAGAAGATCCTGCACGTCAGTGAGTATCGCACCTCTCCCTCGCACCTCAGGGGAGGCCCGCGAGAGTGCGAGAGAGACAGACCGACCGACCGTCCCACAGTGGGCCAGAAGACCGGTGGAGGTGGCCAAAACTCTAGGCGCGTTTTCAGCCCCAGGGTCGCCAAAAAGGACTCGAACCGAACGTGTGACCCCACCAATGGATTCCTCGTTCGAAGAGCAATCCATTGGTGGGGTCACACGTTCGGTTCGAGCCCTTTTTTGCGACTCTGCAGCTCAAAATGCGTCTAGAGTTTTGGCCGCCTCCACCGGTCTCTGGCCCACTGTGCGACCGTCCGGCTCCAAGATTCGTCAAACTGGGTCACTCGCGGGCTTCGCTGCTTCGCTGCTCCGCTCGCAGGGTCGCGCTTTTATGTGGCAATATCTGCGAAGTAGATTCGGGCCAGACGTCCCTCAGGTGCAGGCAGGCCGGGCCGCGGGCAGGCAGGGCTGGCGGGCAGGGCGGCCAGGCGGGGCTGGCAGCCTGTCGCGCACGCCGGCAATGTCCCTGTCTGGCCGTAAAATATAATTGGGCCGGATTGCCTGAGCCAAACCCCAGCCCAGCCTCGCGCCAATCCAATCTCAGCGCCTCCACTGTAGGCAGCCCACCGCGGGCTGCCTGGCCCGGCCTGGCCCCGCCGTAAACCAAAATCGAAAGACAAAAGCGGGAGTCGAAGGGCCAGCGCCGCCAGCGGGACAATGCCGCGTCTCTCTCGCACTCGTGGGCGGCAGTGCGGAGTCGCTCCGAAGGGCGGAAACTCTCTCTCACACACACACACACACACACACACGCAGCCTCGCAAAAAATATAAAGATTGGTGGAGTTACACGAGCAACAATGTCGCAGTGGGGATCAGCGGGGCGGCGAGCGGTGGCACTGCAATTCGCAGCAAGGGATTTGTGGCGATACCCCGGTCGGGCCGCGCGGGGTAGCGCCGTAGCGCCGTCGCCTGAGGCGGCGCGCTACCGGCCAAGCGCGACAGTATTGCGGGGTTTGGAAAAACAAGACCGCTTAAAAAAAGTTCCGCCAAGGCAAGCTTAGCAAAGCGGTCTTGCCGTGGACCGGCCGGGGAAGCCGGGCAGAGAGGGGGCAAGGAGGGAGAGGGGGCTGTGAGGAGTGGGGACTGGCGCGGGGAGGCGGCGTGGCGGCGTGGCGGCGCAGGCGACGACGACAGACGAACCACGACCATGCAGTCCCCTCCAAGCGCGCAGAATGGATGGATGGGTGGATGGGTGGATGGATGGGATGAGTGGGATCGTATGCAGAGCTAGAAGCGGTAGCAAGACCGCTTAAAAAGATCAGAGTGATCTCGCTGCCCAAAAAAAAGAAAACATAAAAAGGTCTCCATGATCTCAAATGACTGAAGTTAAAACGACATCACACACCGGACGGTCAAAGTTTTTCCAGGACTGGTGCGAATTTGACACCAAATTTTCAGTCAGAATTCTCATAATATGAGGGTTCACTGAGGCAGGGTGTGACTAAATTTTTTCACTGTTGGCTTGCTTGCGTGAATGTGACCTTCCGTTCCCCTGTTCTGCGCTGCGAGTGGCGCGGCAAGTCCCCTGCGAGGCAGGCAGCTCCGCGGGGACGCCTCGCGCGGCAGTGCGGCGCGTTGCCTAGGGCCGCGTTCGCAGGCGGCCAGGCCACAGTGGGCCAGAAGACACAGTGGAGGCGGCCAAAACTCCAGACGCGTTTCGAGCTCCAGAGTCGCTAAATGGGACTTGAACCGAACGTGGGACCCCACCAAATGGATCCCTCGTTCGGAGAGCAATCCATTGGTGGGGTCACACGTCCGGTTCGAGTCCCATTTAGCGACTCTGGAGCTCAAAACGCGTCTAGAGTTTTGGCCGCCGACGCCGGTCTTCTGGCCCACTGTGCGGGCCGGGCCGAGCTGCAGACTGATTCCGAGAGTCACCTTCGTCGCTCCGTCTCTCTCGCTCTCACGGTGCGCTCTCAGGGGAGCGAGAGAGACGGAGCGACGAAGACGCCTCTTCGGAATGAGTCGGCTGCCGCTGCTGCTCTGTTCCAGGTGAATGACGCCCTGATGAGGTGAGGGGCAACCCGAGAAGGCGCCCCCGTGCCCGTGCCCCTGTCTCTGTCGCACTCACGGCGGCCTTTGCCTTCACAGGGGTGACAGAGACGGAGCGGCGAAAGCACAGCACCGCACTCACACGGCGCGGCTCGCATTTTCCGCGAGTTGGCGTTAATTTAGCGAGCGCGCGGTTTTGGGACGCACTGCACTGCGGCCGGGGAAGTGGTGTGCGAAATTGCGCGGGAAGAGTGTCTCACACACACACACACACACACACACACACACACACACACAGGACAGTGTAAATTGGTGAGGGTGAGGCGTCATGACTCATTGCGGGCATACGTAGGACGACACGAAGGACGTGGGCAGTACTGCACAGTGTGGGTGCACAGTTCCACGGCGCCAGATTACTTACTACACGACGGCCGGCCGAAAGTTGCGGCGCCATTGTGGCGGTGTGTGATTTACACGGAAAGTCGCCCGGACTTAAAGTATGTACAATGGGGAAGGGGGAAGCACAGTGGGCCAGAAGACCGGCGTCGGCGGCCAAAACTCGAAACGCGTTTTGAGCTCCAGAGTCGCTAAACAGGACTCGAACCGAACGTGGGACCCCACCATTGGCTTCCTCGTTCGGAAAGCAATCCATTGGTGGGGTCACAGGTTCGGTTCGAGTCCTGCATAGCGACTCTGGAGCTCAAAACGCGTCCGGGTTTTTGACCGCCTGCGTCGGTCTTCTGGCCCACTGTGCGAGGGTTGGTTGGCTGGGCGCGTCGATAATTTTCCGGTCACGATGGATCAACGCTTTTTATTCGAATCGGGGCGAGTCGGGAAGGGGGGGGGGGTTGCTGGGTTGTGGGGTCGCCTGCACCTCGGAGGGGAGGGGTGGGGAGTCTAATAAATATCGCTGTCATAAGACGCGACACCCGAACTCCTTCCTGCCCCCAGGAGGCCCGTCCCCGCCCGCCCCCTCCCCTCCGCAACCTCCGAGGCGGCCATGGAGGTTGCCACCGTGAAATGGAACCAGGCTCGTTCCGAGACGGCGCTGTGTCTCGCTGTCTCGCTCGCACGCGTGGGCCGACGGCTCGGTCCGTCGGGGTGCGAGAGAGACAGGGTGTGCTTGCCCGGCAACGACGCCATACGGCGGCGGGGCGCAGTGCGGTCTGAGGGTGACCTTCCCTGCGCCCCGCTTGCGTCCGCGGACAGAAGGACAGAAAATGAGCGCCGTTTCCGCTGCCATTAGGCCGGCCGCTGTCTCTCTCGCACTCGCGGCGCGGCCCGCCGGGGTGCGACAGAGAGGCGACGAACACTGTTCGCCATGAGCCCGACGCCGTGGCTCGGCCGCGCCGGCCGCCAGCCCCACTGGGTCGATGAAGTGCGTCACCGACTGATGAGGGCAGCAGAACACACAACACGCGGCGACGCGGCGACGCGCGGGTGCAGTGGCCTGTGCCCCGGCCCGCCACGGCCTGGGTCGCCACGCCAGCCACGCCAGCCCGCGCCAGCCACGCCACAGGTACACCACAAAAACGGTGACGGTGGCGCCCCCGGCGGGGGGAGTCCGCGCCAACCACCAGGGTCGCTAGCTGCTTCTTCTTCTTCTTCTTCTTGCCGCTCGGGGTGAGCCAGCCTTACGCGCGGCGCACCGCGGGGTCCGCGGGGAGGGCCATCCCATCATGCCGATGCTTAATTTAATGAAGCCCCGTCGGGCCGACGGGCTCGACAGGTGGCGCTGCAGTCACTGCTTTGGACAGCAGACTGATTCCGAGAGTCGTTCTCCATCGCTCTGTCTCTCTCCCACCTGTGCGGGACGCCCCGTGAGTGCGAGAGAGACAGGGAGCGGCTCTCGGAATCAGTCTGGCGGCCCTTATCGGCGCGGGGGCACCATAGGCAGCAGTGCCACTCCAACAACCCTTTTCTTCCCCCCCCCCCACTTGGTGGCGGGGCAGCGAAAGGCGCCACCGGGCCCAAAGTTAATTTATCGTTGTAAAATCAACAAAGCAAAATCGATAAATTGAGGAAGGGGAGAGAGAGAGAGTGATTGTGTTTCTTGGGCAGCCCCGTGGGAACGTGTGCGGCCTGCTGGTAATGAGTTGCCCCCCCCCTTGTCCGTCTTTACCAGATCCGCAGATAAAGCCCCAAGTCATTACAATCGAACCAATGAGCCGTGCTACGTTTGCAGGGGGCGCAAACACACACACGCACACTCACACACAAACAGAGGTGGCGGTGCAGCACACCACTCGCAAACAAAAAGCAACAAAAAAGTTGGCGGCAAAAAAAAATTAAAATAAAATAGAAGCACGGCTCGGCTCGCCTTAAAACCCCGCCGCCGTACCGCCCGCGGCTTTTGTTTGGCGTTCTTTGGGCGCGGGGAATTTTGAAATGATTCATCGGCGGGTGGGTGTGTGTTTAACGCGGTTACATTCATGTCCGCACAATGGAACAATGAAGTGGCGGGGCATGCCCCTGCAGGCCTGCAGGGCAGCGCGGGGCAGCGCGCGCCCGCCAGCGCCGCGGCGAGGCGCTCAAATTTTGACGGAGTCGTTTTGGCGCGCAAAGTTTGGGGCGGCTAAAATGGTGTTGCTGCTGCTGCCGCCCTCCAGGAAGTGGACAGCAATCAGCAGTCTTTTTATTTATTCGTCAATCCCGTCGTTCGCCTTCGTCCGTCCTGGGGCGTGTGTGGTTGGAGGGGGTGGCGCGCTGCCTCCCCCGACCCCCTCTCTTTCTCTCTTCAGCTTTGGACATTAATTTGGCGAGGATAAATGGAATCGAATGGCCGTGAGAGATTCTCCTTCATTAAGGCGAGTGGCGGCCCGGTGCTGCTACACTACTCACTCTTTTTTGCACAGATTTATTTTCCGCTCGTTTTGCGCGTCAAGTTGACGGAGCGCCCTCCCCTGGGCCCTCCCTTTGCTTTTTCTAAAGCGGCCTCTCGAATCTTGTGTTTGCAGGCCAGAAGGACGGCGGCACGCAGATCAAGCTGGTCATCGACTACCCCCACGGCGTGCAGGCCCTGTTCAAGCCCATGAGGTGCCCGCTGCAGCGCGCTGCCCGGTCCCTCTCCTCTTTTCCCGTGTCTTATTTTTCTTCCGTTACACAAGTTCGCCGAGTTGTGAAACTTGTGCGCGCCGCGTGAGTCAGTTTGGCGCGGCCCCGCCCCGCCCCGCCCCGCCCGCGTCTCGCCCGGAGTGCGGTCGGTGCAGTCGAGTGGGGCCGAAAGCGATTTGGGGCGGAACCCGCAGCGAGAGCGGCGCGAGCGGCCAAAAGTGAAAGAACAAGTTGACTTTTGGCGCGGACTGTCCGTGTGCTGGCAGGGCTGGCTGGGCTGGCTGGACTGGCCAGCGGCCGAGCAGTGCCTCCTCGCGGTCAACTTGTCAACTTTGGGAATGAGGTTCCCCGAGACCCCTCTGGCTGTCTCCGCCTGCCCCCGGCTTCTGGCCGCTCCGTGTGCCGCCGCGTGCCCTCCGTTTGAGTTGGCTAAAGTAAACAGAGCGATATCTGCTGACAGTCGGTTTATTTCGGGAGAGCTCGGCCGGGGCTGCTTGTGTAGCGAGCCCGCTCGGGCTGGGGGTCCTTGTGTAGCGAGCCCGCTCAAGCTGGGGGTCCTTGTGTAGCGAGCCCGCTCGGGCTGGGGGTCCTTGTGTAGCGAGCCCGCTCGGGCTGGGGGTCCTTGTGTAGCGAGCCCGCTCGGGCTGGGGGTCCTTGTGTAGCGAGCCCGCTCGGGCTGGGGGTCCTTGTGTAGCGAGCCCGCTCGGGCTGGGGTCCTTGTGTAGCGAGCCCGCTCGGGCTGGGGGTCCTTGTGTAGCGAGCCCGCTCGGGCTGGGGTCCTTGTGTAGCGAGCCCGCTGGGTGGGTCCTTTGCGCCCCGCGGGGGCCTTGGTGACGACGGCCGCGTCCAGGAGGAGAAAGAGGGAAGAGGGGCGAGCGCCGTTTTGCGACAAGCCGTCGCGTCGCAGCGCGTCGCAGCGACCCCCAACCGATCGTTTAGCGAGCCGTGGCCTCGGGGCCGCGCCCCCGCCGCCCCAGCCGTGCCACGCGTGCTCCAGAAGTGCGTCCGGCTGCTGCTCCGCGCCCCGCGGCGGGGACGGCGGAGGCGGCGAGGACAGCGGGGCGGCGGGGGCGGCCCGGGCCGCGTCGCCAGGATTGCCAATCTCCGGACCCCTCCGCGGCGGGGCGCTCGCCACTCGCCCTCGCTGGCGGCCTGGCGCGGCCCGGCGTGGCCGTGCGGGGGAAGCATCATTTAGTCCCGCAGGAAGCGGACGGATCCTGCAGCCCTGCAGCCCGGTCCGGCCCGGTCCGCTCGACTCGGCCAGAGCGAGGGATGGTAAGAGTAAAAATACACACGTGGCGCTGCACAGTGGGCCGAAGACTGGTGGAGGTGGCCAAAACTCTAGACGCGTTTTGCCCCGGCTGCCAAGGCTCGACCACTGTGCCCCCCATGGATTCCTCGTTCGAATGCTAATCCATTCGGTTGGTCCTCTTGTCGTGCGCCCTGCCGTCGGCCAAACGCGTCTGTTTTGGCGCCACCGGGGTGCGCTGGCGCCACTTTGCCGGCATGCACGTGCTGGTCGTGCGTGGCCTCGGGACGATGGTCCGCACGACCCCGATGCGCCGCGCGCCGCCTGCGCTCGCACGCGCCTCGGCGTGCGGCCGCGTGCTCGCGTGCGGTGCGGGGCCACTTGGGGGCCTCGAGGGTGTCGAGGGGGCGCGCCACGGCGGCGCTCTTTGTCATGCGCGAGTCCCCCCTCGCGGTGCTGGCGGTGCTCGCGTGCTCGCGGTGGCGCGCGCTTGGTACACACAATGACGCCCGTTCGTCGCGCGCGAGGCGCACGAGGCCGTCGAGACCCCGCAGGTGCGGCGGTGCGACCCAGCCAAGCCCGTGTAGTGCTGCAAGGGCTGCCGGGGCTGCTCCTCCTCCTGAAAGGAAAGGGCGCCAAAGGGTCGCCACGGCTCATCGGCTCGCCCTTTGTGCGTCACCTTCGCGCGCTCGAGGTGGGGCGGGGCTTGGTGGGGCGTGGTGGTGTGGGGCGGGGCGGGGCGGGGCGGCAAGTGCGGGGTGCGGTGCGGTGTGTGCAAAGAGAAGCACTACACCGCGCTACTACTCGACCTTCTTTTCGGGTACGTTTTTCCAAAAAAAAACTGTTTTGTATGTTTTTCTTCACATTCAAATTTTTATTTTTTAAATTATCTCGCTCTATGTTGTGGTCTCCCTTCGGCGTGCACGCTATTTCGCTGCGCGGAGGTGGTGAGTTTCGCGCGGAAGATGGGTCGTTACCATAATTGGTGATTCATGTGGCTGGCGGGCGTGGCGGGCGTGGCGGGCGGGCCAAATTCACTTCCTGGTGGCAAATGACGCCGCGCTGCTCGGCGCTACAAGATGAATGCGGCGCTGGCGCGCTGGCGGTACGGAGGGGGTTGCTTGGCTGCTCGGCTGGCTGTGTGTCGGGCCTCCTTTCGCCGCACGCGCGCTCGGGTCGGCCGTTCTTCCCCGCCTGGCCCCGCCAGGCCATGGGCCCCGCCAGGCCATGGGCCCCGCCAGGCCATGGGCCCCGCCAGGCCATGGGCCCCGCCAGGCCATGGGCCCCGCCAGGCCATGGGCCCCGCCAGGCCATGGGCCCCGCCAGGCCATGGGCCCCGCCAGGCCATGGGCCCCGCCATGGGCCCCGCCATGGTATGGACGGCCTGGAACCAAATGGTGCGCGCCAGGCCGGGCGGCCGCTGGAGCGCAGCCATCCGCGCCCATCCGACATGGCCCTGAGGCCATGGGCACCGCCGAGGGGGAGCCAAGTACACCGCCGAATAGTCTCAACTTTAATAAACCTTGGAACTGCACTGGTAAAACTAAAGCGTAGTATTACCCTCTGTTTTCAAGCGTAATCAGGTTACGCTTGAAATCCCAGCGTAACAGGCCCAACCGCCAAAATTCCCCCTATCTAAATGCATGGGGGAATTTCCAGAGTATGCTTCATTTCAAGTTGTAACGTTTCAAGCGTAACTTTATGCGATCAAGCAAGAGTTACGCTTTAGTTTTACCAGTGCGGTTTACTGGTATACTTTTATTTTCAAAATGGTTGTTTTTCTAGAGTGCATGTAGGAAAAGGTGGAGGCAGAATGACGCCGACAAAGTGTGTGAGCGAAAGGGCGGTTTTGGTCCGCTGCCAAATCTCTGCCGCACGCCTTTCCCGATGGGCTGGGGAATGCTTGTGGTGTGCCCGACACCGGCGAAGGACGAGGGCTTTGGTTTACCGTGTCAGGTCAGGTGGCGGTCGAAAAAAAAACTGCGTTTCCACAGAACCTATATTTCCGTGAGAAAATATTTGTCCAGAAAATTGTCGAAATTTTGCATCAGATTCCTGGAGCCGTGTTCCTGAGCCGTTCAATTTCGGTCCGTGGCCCCGCGTTGCGCAACCGACGCGCTGCCCGCCGGGCCCCGGGCACTGCACCTTTAACCGCCTGCCCTTTTTGGGGAGCGCGGCGGCGGCTATGGCGGGCAATAGCGGCAGGCGCCTCGCCGAGCTGGGTGCATCACGGACGGACGGAGAGAAAAAAAAAGAAGAAGGGAAAAAGTTAATTGAGAAAAGCGTCGTCGTCTCATCTCTTCATTCCCTTGGCTGAGCGCTGCGCGGGCTGCTGGCAGCTCCCGTTAAGGTCGCACACACACTAACACACACACACACACACACACACACACACACGAGAGCACACACGTTAAAACGCTGGACGCACAGACGCGACTGTTACCGCACGAAACACGGCGCGGTTGATGAACCACTCCAGCGGAGCTTTTCGCTTTTTACGCTGCGAGCAGAGCAGAGCAGACGGCCTTGCGGTAAACTAATAACCATTAAAAAGTACCGGTCTTGTCTTTGCATCCCGGGCTGCCCGCCGTGTCTACCTCCGCACAGTGGGCCAGAAGGCCGGTGGAGGCGGCCAAAACTCTAGATGCGTTTTGAGCTCCAGAGTCGCTAAACGGAACTCGAACCGAGCGTGTGGCCCCACCAATGGATTCCTCGTTTGGAGAGCAACCCATTGGTGGGGTCACACGCTCGGTTCGAGTCCCATTTAGCGACTCTGGAGCTCAAAACGCGTCTAGAGTTTTGGCCACCTCCACCGGTCGTCTGGCCCACTGTGCTCCGCCCGGCTCATATCCTGCGGGCGCGCTGCGTTCGCTGCGGGCTCAAACAGTGCGGCGCGCTTTCGTCGCTCTGTCTCCCTCGCACTCGTGAGGCGTCCGGTCGAGGTGCGAGAGAGACAGAGCGACGAAGCGGCTCACAGTGTGCTTTCGTAGTGCGTGTTCGTTGTTGTTGTTCCGCTTTTTTGCCGGTTTGTTTGCCTTCCTTGTGTTTCTGAATCGTTCCAACTTGAGCGGCTCGGCTCGGCACGGCTCGGCCCGCGTTCATTAAGGTGTCCGCCGCGGCGATACACCGTAAGCGGTCCGCCTGACAATCGCGAGTTGTAAAACGGAGCGGACGGAAACGGCACCGGACTCACCGCCCGACGAGAACGGACGCCGATTTTGAGGAAAAAGGTCAAGCTGCTGCTCTTGTTTTTGTTGGTGTTTGATTTGCGGTCCGGGTCGCCGCTCCGAGGCCCTGGCCCGCCTGACTCCAGCGCTGCACTTCTCATTTCTCATTTCTTCCCGGTTGCCGTCGAGTCGCCCATCCTTCCGTCGTTTCCCTTTCGGCCGCCTCGTCAAAAGTCTGAATCAGGCGGACTGATTCCGAGAGTCGTTTTCGTCGCTCTGTCTCTCTCGCACTCATGGGGCGCCCCGTTCGGGTGCGAGGGAGACAGAGCGACGAGAGCGACTGTCGGAGCAAGCGAGCCAGGTGCCCGGCGCCCTCCTCGCGTTCCGGCCGATCCTCCACGCCTCTCTGCACGCCACTTTTTCCTTCATTTGTACTCGACTCGCGCCTGCCTTACAGTGCCTGCCCCACAGACTGCCGCCGAGAGGGAGGTCCCCTCTGTCTCTCTCTCGCTCCGAGATGGGACGCGCCGTGAGTGCGAGGGAGGTTTCTCGTAGGTTTCTCGGAG